GGTCTCGAACTCCCGACCTCAGGTGATCCGCCGGCCTCGGCCTCCCAAGTAGCTGGGACTACAGGTGTGTGCCATCACCCCTGGCTTATTTTTCTATTTTTACTAGAGACGGGGTTTCACCATGTCGACCAGGCTGGTCTCGAACTCCCGACCTCGTGACGGTCCGCAGGCCTCGGCCTCCCAGAAGGCAGGGATGACAGACATGAGCCACCGCGCCCGTTCAGCATGCGTTTTTGTTTTTGTTGTTGGTTTTCTCCAGGTCTTACTGTGGTTCGTTTGCAGGAGGCCGGGCCCGGGCATCAGCAGCAGCGTGAGCCACAGGAGGACCATGGGGAGCGCAGCTCTGTCAGGACCGAGGTGCCTGCTGGAGACAACGTAGAGTCAGGCAGCAGGGAGCGGCCGTGGGGCGGGGCTGCGGGGGGTGAAGGGCGCTGTGAGTGTGAGTGTGTCTGTGGGCGGTGTGTGTGAGTGTGTGTCTCAGTGTCTGTGAGTCTGGGAGCGTGTATGTGTGTTGAATGTGTGTGTGGGACCGTGTGAGCATCTGTGTGTGTCAGTGTGTATGAGTGTGTGTTCAATCTGTGTATGTGTGAATGTGTGTGTCTGTCTGTTGAGTGAGTCTGTTTGTTGAGTGTGTGTGCATTTCAGTGTGTGTGAATGTGTGTGTGAGTGTGTTTGCTGAGTGTGTGAGAGTGTCTTTTTTGGGTGTGTGCATGTGAGTGTGAGCATGTGTGTCTGTGTGTGTGTTTGAGTGTGAGTGTGTTTATTGACTGCATGAGATTGTGTCTTTGTTGAGTGTGTGTATGTGTGAGTGTGAGCGTGTGTGTCTGTGTGTGAATGTGTCTGTTTGTTGAGTGTAGGAGTGTGTGTTGAGTGTGTGGCTGTGTGACTGTGAGCATGTGTGTCCGTATGAATGTGTGTGTTTGTTGAGTGTGGGAGTGTGTGTTGAGTGTGTCCATGTGTGAGTGTATGTGTTTGTGTTGTGTGGGTGTGTATGTTGAGTGTGGGAGTGTGTTGAGCGTGAGTGTGTGAGTGTGTGTGTTTGTTGAGTGTGGGAGTCTGTTGAGTGTGAGTGTGTGAGTGTGTCTGTGTCTGAGTGTGAATGTGTGTGTTCGCTCAGTGTGTGTGCATGTGTCTGTGTGTGAATGCGTCTGTGTTTGTTGAATGTGGGAGTGTGCTGTGTGTTTCTGAGAGTGAATGTGTGTGGGTGTGTGTTTGTTGAGTGTGTCAGTGTGTGTGCATGCGTGTATGTGCAAATACACCTGTGCAGACACACGCATGTGGGACTGTGCCTGTACATGTGTGCACTGTGTGCATGAATGTGTGTGTGTGTACGTGGGGTGTACCATATGTGTGCATGCCTGTGTGTGAAATGTATGTTTGCGCGCCACCACACCTGGCTAATTTTTCTATTTTTCATAGAGAAGACGTTTCACCGTGTTGTCCGGGCTGGTCTCGAACCCCCGACGTCAGGTGATCCACCTGCCTCGGCCTCCCAAAGTGCTGGGTTCACAGGTGTGAGCCGCCATACCTGGCCGTGTTTGTGTTTTATGCAGGCGGATACACACAGAGGTGTGTTTCCATGACACATTTCTATCTGTGTGTGCATTCCATGGGTGCACGCGTGTGCATACATCAGTACACGCTTATGAGAGTCTGGGCGTGTACGTGCCTGTGTGTGCATGTGTCAATGTACATATAGAAGCCTGTTTGCACGAGCGTGTACGTGTGCGTGTGTGTGTGTGTGTGCGTGGTGTGTGCCTGTGTCTGTGTGTGTGGCAGCCTTTCCGTTTTGAAACAGCCCCCGCCCTGTGGGTTTAACCCATTCGTGGCCGCAGCTCTCCCCAGAAACCAGGAAAGCACATTCCCCGTGGAACTCCAGGAAATGCTCAGAAGACAAAGCAGACGAAGGAAGCGTGATCACAATTCCGAAATCCATGCACACAGAAATTCCAAAGTGAGCGGAGCTGCCTTATTTCTTTTTTTTTTTTTTTTTTCTTTTTTTTGAGACAGAGTTTCACTCTTGTCGCCCGGGCTGGAGTGCAGTGGCACGATCTCGGCTCACCGCAACCTCCGCCTCCCGGGTTCAAACGATTCTCCTGCCTCAGCCTCCCGAGTACCTGGGGTTACAGACATGCCCCACCACATGCAGCTAATTTTCTGTTTTTTAGTCGAGACGGGGTTTCTCCATGTTGGTCAGGCTGGTCTCGAACTCCCGGCCTCAGGTCATCCACCCTCCTCAGCCTCCGAAACTGCTGGGATCACCGACGTGAGCCACCTTGCCTGACTGCCTAATATTTTCAATTGGCTGCGTGAGGTGGCTCAGGCCTGCCATCCCAGCAGTTTGGGAGGCTGAAGCAGGCAGATCACTTCAGGTCAGGAGTTCAAGACCAACCTAACAAACATGGTGGAACCCCATCTTTACTAAAAATACAAAAAATCACCCGGGTGTGGTGGTGGGTGCCTGTCGTCCCAGCTGCTCAGGAAATTGAGGCAGGAGAGTCCCTTGAACCTGGGAGGCAGTGGTTGCAGTGAGCTGAGATCACACCACTGCACTCCAGCCTGGGCGACAGAACGAGACTCCATCTAAAAAAGAAAAAAAAAAGAAAAAAAAGAAAGAAATTAAAAAATAGTCCAGGCGTGGTGGTGTGTGCCCATGGCCCTGGCTACATGGGAGGCTGAGGCAGGAGGATCGCCTGAGTCTGGGAGTTCAAGGCTGCAGTCAGCTATGACCGCATCACTACACGCCAGCCTGGACAACAGAGCAAGACCCTATCTCAAAAAAAAAAAAAAAAAAAAAAAAAGGTTTTTTTCATCAATGTGGGATTCACCCTCCCCACAATTTACCACCGTGCCGTGTGCAATTCAGAGACATACACCGTTATAAAACCACCGCTCCCATCTTCCAGAACATGTGATCACCCAAAAAAGACACCCCAGACCCATTAAAGACCCCTCAGTCCCCCCGCACAGCCCCCGGCAACCACACAGCCACGTCCCGTGTCTGTGGATTTGCCTGTATCTTGACACAGCAAATAAATGGACTCCTAAATATACGACATATGTATGTACGATTTGTGTGTGTGGCTTGTGTCGGGAAGTGTGGCGTGCTCACGGTTCACGCGCATTGCAGCCTATGACAGAGACTTGTTGCTTTTCATGGCTGCGTAATATTCCACTGTGTGGGTGGTAGAACACACTCTATTTCTCCATTCTTCTAGAGATGGGTTTTAGGGGTGTCATCACCTCTTGGCTACTGTGAATAAATCTGTTGGGAGGGAGTTGAGCTTTATTTATTTATTTATTTTGGACACAGAGTCTCGCTCTGTTACCCAGGCTGCAGTGCAGTGGCACTATCCTGGCCCACTACCAGCTCCACTTCCCGGGTTCAAGTGATTCTCGTGCGTCGGCCTCCTTAGTAGCTGGGATTGCAGGTGCACGCCAGCACACCTGACTAATTTTTTGTGTTTTTAGTAGAGATGGGGTTTCACTGAGGTGGTCGGGCTGGTCTTGAACTCCTGACCTCATGATCGCCTGCCTCGGCCTCCCAAAGTGCTGGGACGACAGGCATGTGACACCCGTGCCCGGCTGGGACCTGAGCTTTCACCAGCAGTCTGGGGTGTTCTGAGTGTCTTCAGCCTTTGAAAACCAGGGAGAAACGCTCAGCAGGCTGGGCGTACCCGTCCCTAAAGCATCCCCATGTCCGGCCGTCAGCTGTGGGCACAGCCCTTTGACCAGCCGGACCAGCCATGTGACAAACGTGCAACTCTACCCACGGGCCTGTGTTTCCACTTTCTAGCAAGCACATTGGAGAATCAGAAAACAGGGCACAATTACCTCCAATGTCCTCACCTTTATGCACTCAAGGTGTCTGAGACGATGGTAGAGCTTCACCGTGGGAGCCACGTACAAATCATTAATGAGATGGAAAACACCCTCCTTTGGTAGCAGGTTGTTCAGTGGGGTGTGTGTCGGGGTGTTCAGTGGGGTGTGTCAGGCTGTTCAATGGGGCATGTGTCAGGTTGATCACTGGGGCGTGTGTCAGGTTGTTCAGTAGGGTATGTGTCAGGCTGTTCAATGGGGTGTGTGTCAGGTTGCTCAGTGGGGTGTGTGTCAGGTTGCTCAGTGGGGTGTGTGTCAGGTTGCTCAGTGGGGTGTGTGTC